GCCTACTAATAATTCAGATATTCGGATGATAAACGCCTGCAACATCATCAATTGGACCTTACAGGACGATGGGGTCATTTTATTCAGATTGGCCTTATCATGTTTCAGAACAACATATTTTTTTGTTATTAAAGTAACACTTTATTAAAAACAATCAATGAATTTTGTTACGTCTTTATATTGATATTTTCAAGCATATTAGATGACCTGAAGAAAAAGTGATCCAGAAGTCGTAGGCTTACTGTACAATATATTATGACGAAAGTAAATTTTTGTCCGTCTCTGAATTTTAATAGTGTTACTGTAATAGAGCCTATTATTAAATATTGGAATGGTACCTTATAGATTTATAACCAGGTAGCAGAGCAGCTTAGCTCAGTTGCCTAAACTGGTGGTAGCCTCTGTGTGCGCTAAAACGTGGAGATCTCTAGGTCTCCGATTCAAATAAAATCAAATCATTGTTTATTCATCACTCAAAATGGGTTAAATTTTACAAAAGTAAAGGGTTCAAGCAGAAAATCTAAACAACCAACATTTAAACATTTTTCAACAAATAGACCCACATCACAATAACAGCATAAGGAAACGAGGTTTAAAGGGCAAAAAGGCAACCAATATTAAAATTATTATTATTATTATTATTATTGTAATTATAATTTTTGTAGTGAGATTATTATAGTTATTTTAATTACTGACTTAAAAATGAACAAAGCATTCGCCTGTACAGGGAGTCCTTTTCAGTCTTTTGGAGGATAAATTCTTTAAGTTTTCTAAGATGGAAATTGGAATGAGCTTTAGGAATGAGGTAGTGTATTGAATTCCCATCACTGCTCTTCCTTGTATTTCAGTTGGAGGGCAACTGTGGGTAATGAGTGTGTGTTTTAGCAACGATCGAAGATTCGTTCGTTCACAGGTGTTGTTGATAAGCTGTCATTAATATTCTGTAGCCTGAGGCCCTATAGCAAATAAAAAGGATAGCAGTTTTGGTAGATTTGGCGACATCAAGCGAGAATAAACTATTTTAATAGTAGAAGCCAGGCCTAGGCCTTAGCTACCCCTGAAACCTCTTAAGCCTGGCCTAGTAGTACGCCTATAAGTATGCCCCTAGGCGGGTATTCGGGCTAGGCCCTAGGCCTAAGCCTAGCCTTAGTAGACCATTCTCTATGGTAGACCATAAAATACGCAAGAATAACAGAAAGGATTTTTAACCCAAACATTGTGATAAGCCCCAATCGAAATACATGAAATGGGCCTGAAGTTTTATGACATAAATTTGATCGTAACTGTTCGCGCCACGTTTCTCATGATCGCAACGTCAACTTTGCAAAAAAGCCAAAATCGAGTCGGTCATTTCTATTGGCTAATCATGACGTAATATCATTTACCGTACCTTTAGCATTTGGAAGTTCCGATACGGTACCGTATCTCTAGCCACGGCGTTTATTGTATATGATATCTATTTATATATATGTATGTTTTTTAATTACTTTCTTTTAATATTTGTATTTTATGTACCACTTTGAAAAACAGTACACAAGTACTGAAAGTGCATGCAGTAGAAAGACAGAATAAATAAATAAATAATAATAATTATTTGTATAAAATGTTTGATTTTGTAAAGATAAGACTATTTACAATATTTTTCTGATCCTTAGGTCAAGAGTGCTGAAGCCTCTAGTATAGCACTGGATTGTGTACAGGCTTTAAGCATGGCCACTTACTGTGCAGCAGTCTTGCTTCAACTGCATCAAGCTCTCCACGAAGGCAAAGAAAAGTGAGTATGAACAGGTCATCTTTGATTGACATGGGTCATCTTCATTCTTGATGATGACCCAATAAAGGTTGAAACATTGAACCATGGCCTCTCTCTCATTATTCAGAGTAATTAAGCTTGTTCTATCTTTGGAAGTAATGTCAAGATTTTTCTCAGGACCAAAAAATGATCAGTTCTCAAATCGCTAAGTGTCTTGAGACATAAGCTTGGTTTCCATAAAATCACTACACTCTATCGCCAACATCTTTCGGTGTGATCAGCCAAATCTGGGAGCCTTCCCGCTAAATCTATATGTTCCCTTTTCAATTAGGTCCTGCAATGAGTCCATCTATAATATGCTGTAAGTAAATTCTGTAATCTTTTACTGTTGAGTAATTCAGGTTTTTAAGTTGGCCAACTAAATTATTTTTAAATGTTAAATTGTTTACGCTCTGTATTTCCATTTGGACTATAAAATTTGAATTAAATTGAAGTGTCCGATATGATCAGCTCTCAACTCCTTAAGCCGAATCGAGAGATGGTTCTACTATCAAGGTTCTCAAGGCTTGTGAATTACAAAAAAAAAATTAATAGACTTGTATAACTTGACAATACAGTAATTGCTTTTACTGTAAGTCACGATGAAGATGAATTAATTGATTGTGGTTTATGAAGTTTATTAGGTATGCCTAAACACCTGGTAGACATTTATTAAATAGATTAAAATGTGTCATAAACATCATTATGAATTGTTTCAGCGATGCCTTCTATTTTCAGTTCATTTATACTGTATAGTCATTCAGCTTGTTGTCTCATAATATGCCTTTCTAGGCCTTACCTATAAATCTAGGCTTCATTTGATGGTAGCCAGCGCTGTAGAGCGAGATTTGTTATGTTTGCTGTGTGCGTTCAGAGCACCATTAGTGCCTGCTCGGCGATAGGAAAATTACAGTGATGCAAATAAGAATGATGATGTTATGGACTGACTACTGTAGTATAATGTATTAATTTGACCAACTTAGCCTTGTGTCTCTGTCACCTGCTGTATTTTAATAACCTTTAACTTTGTATCCTTTATGTATTGTATTAACAATGTTTATTTTTACATTTATAAATAGTATAAACACTGTATTCCTTTTGGTTATTTGTATTATTATTATTATTAATATTATTTTTATTATTATTATTATTATTATTATTATTATTTAAGACTTTCTCAACTACAACAACAGCTCTTTTCAAAACTACCTATGTGGTGTACCACGCCACCAAGCTTGTTTATTTTACATTTATAAATTGTATAAACACTGTATTCATTCTGGTTATTTGTATTATTATTATTATTATTATTATTATTTGAGACTTTCTCAACTACAACAGTTCTTTTTATAACTACTTACGTGGTGTACCGCAAGCTTCACATTTATATTATTATTATTATTGTTATTATTATTATTATTATTGTTATTATCATTATTATTATTAATATTATTATTGTTGTTATCGTCATTCTATTATTATTATTATTATATCATTATTACATGTTATGCTTATGAGGGATCAATCTGAAAACAAATTAAGGCCATCCTTTTGTTAAATTCTCCCATTATTGCTTATCATGGTCAATTTTTCTTTTATTGTAATTTACGGGTGTCATTCACATGCCAACTCGTACCCATGCCAACTGGTACACACTTTGGCAAATTCATACCCAAATTTAGGCTAACTCGTACACACAATTGGTGATGTCGTACACATGACTTTTGGCAAACTCGTGCCCAAATGCATTTATGTCGTTAATGCAAGATTTATTATTGCGTATGTTTTTCCCCCAAATTATTTACTGTGATATATTTAATGATATTATTTAATCATATTCTTCTTGTCTGTATAATGATGTATGATGTTAAAAAAATATTGCTAAAAATGAGGCACATGTAATTATATAGGCTTTTTTTTTTTTTTTTTTTTTTTTTTTTTTTTTTTTTCACATCTAGATGTGTAGTGCTGCTTTGTTAGCGACGTGTTTGATTCACAGCTCTAACAAATTTGGCTAATATTACTGTTTTTTAAGCATTGTTGCAAGTTTACATGTGTATCTGGTGAATATTTGTGCTGTTTTGTTGCTGTTGTCTGTGATTTTTGTGGATTTGAAATGTGTTCTGGTGAGATTCCAATCAGAATGATGTATAGTAGCCAGGCCCTTAAACTGATGGGCAGAGTCCGTCTTAGGCTGAAAAGAAGAGCTATCAACCCACCACTTCCTTCAATAATAATGTTCAATGCCCGTTCACTCAGAGGAAAGCTAGACAAACTGAAGGGAAAATAATTTCAATTAAGGATTTGAGAGACTCATGTTTATTATGCGTCTCAAAGACATGGTTCAAACCCGATGTTGACAGTCAGTCTTTATAGCCATATTGATGGTTTCGCATGCATTCGAGTGGACAGAACAGCAGCGGCCTGCAAAGATGGTGGTGGAGGTGTTTGTATGTACATCAACAATCGCATTTTCAGGCAACATTGCTCTAAAGACATTGAAGTGCTTACTCCTTAGACCAGGGGCGGATTGCTATAAAACGGTCTTAACTGGCAGTCTTAACTCCTAGAATAAAGCCGGCTTTATCACTTAGACGGTCTTACTAAAGTCATTCCTCTAAGACCATTGCTATAAAACAGTCTTCCCTAAGACCGCTTTGAGTATTGAAATGCAAACAAGCACTCCCTGGTAACGCAAGATTGAGGGCGACGTCATGCGTGCTCGCGCATGCAAATGTATCAAAATGAACGTAGACAGACGCCAAGAAATGTGCGGAGTATTCGTCGTTCGATTCTCCGACTTTGACAATCCAGGCCTAGGTCTTGCCATTGCACTGTTGAATTAATCAGCAGAACGCCATGATGTAAATGATTTAAGACTGTTTTAAGCCTCCTCTGAGTAGGCTATAAAATTTAAGACGGCTAACTGGTTAGACCGTGGTATAGCAATGGTCTTTAATCATAGACCAGAGTGACGTCACGATTATAGCCGGCTAACCGTTCAGACCGTCTAAAGACCGCTTATAGCAATCCGCCCCATATTATCTCCCAAGAGAATTTCCAAAACTTTTTCTAACAGTAGTGTACATTACTACATCAGCGTGCGTCATAAATGCAGCTGAATACTTGCAAGACCTCATACAAGATATGGAGAATTACTCACTTGATGTGTTTTTAACTGGTGATTTCAACCAGTGTGATCTTAAAAGACATGTACCACTTTATCATCAATACGTTGATAAACCCACCAGGATAAATAATATACTGAACAAATGCTATGGAAACTTACCTATTGCATACAAATGTGTCATCAAACCCGAAATTGGCACATCTGACCACAAAATGGTTCATCTGTTACTGCACTATGTTCAGAGGTTAAAGCAATCAAACCCACTATCAAGTCTATTAGAATATGGTCTCATGAAAGTACTGAAACATTAAAAGGCTGTTTTGAAGCAACAAACTGGGATATATTTACGGATGGTACATCATTAGATGAGGCAGTAGATGCAATTTCCTGTTATATCAACTTCTGTGTTGCATCGGTTATCCATGAAAGGCAAATAAAAGTGTACCCACAAGCCATGGCTTAATGGTAGTGTAAAGAAATTATTACAGAAGAAGTAAGAGTGCATTGATAATGCAGAGGGAAAGAAAGTACAAAAGGAGATAAAGAAAGAAGTAAGTGCATTGCAAGAGAAAGTTTGGGAAAAGGGTTCAAGTTCAAATCTGGAAATAGCAAGCAAGTGCGGGATAGTGTGAGGAAAATGACAGGCTATGACAAAAGTGTGGTACTACTGTGAAAACAGATGATCAGAAAATGGCATGTGATCTAAACTCATTCTTTCTACGGTTTGATGACCAGAATTTTAGCAAAGTTAGGACTGAAATTCAAAACTGAAATTATTGATAATATATTCTGGTGCAAGTGTTTCTATAGACAAAGCAGATGTTGAACTTGTGTTTAAAAATGTAAATCCTAGAAAATCAGTAGGTTCAGATGGTGTCAGTGGTAAAGTTCTGAAAGAATGCAATGTGCAATTAGCCCAGGTTTTTACTCCCTTATATAACTGGTTACTAAAGCACGTACAAGTTACCCACTATCTGTTAAAACGCTCATTAATACATCCAGTGGCAAAAAAGAGTAACCATAAAATTTTAAATGGTTATAGACCAATTGCTATCACAGCTTGCCAATAAAATGTCTTGAGAAATTGATTTAAAAAGATATTCTCAATGAAACAGATGATAAATTAGACACGTATCAATTTGCTTGCCGTTCAAATAGGGGTGTAGAAGATGCTATTACTACATTATTGCATAACATTCTTGTTCATCTTGATAGTGCCAATTCATATGCTAGGTTTTAATTTTTAGATTTTTCTTTGCTTTTAGTAAAGTACAACCACATGTTTTAATGGATGTTAATATTTAGTTGTTTTAGATGTAAACCGGTTTATCATTTTATGACTGAATAACTTTTTAATGGATAGGGACCAGTTTGTGTGTTTTAACAAATGTAAGTCAGAAATCCGTAAGTGCAATACTGGAGCACCTCGGGACTGTGTCCTTTCTCCTATTCTTTATATACTAATGATTTGAACTGAAATAGACGGTGACATTTTAACCAAGTGTTTTACAGTAAAATATGTAGATGATACCTGTCTAATTGGACTTGTAAAAGATAATTTGACTGAAATCTACTTTGAAAATGTAAATCGTTTTTCATCTTGGTGCATTGATAATTATTTGCAGTTGAATGTTAAGAAAACTAAAGAGATGATTATAGATTTTAGGAAGGGTGACAAAACACATGATATGTTGTCTATTATGGATGATTCAGTTGAGGGCAATTCCATAAATTCGGACGTACATTTCAGACACTTTGTGAATCTATATTTTCATAATGAAGCTTGCAATTTATTTTTTTAAAAGTTTGCATTACATCTACTGATTAGTACTATCAGACCAACAATTTTTAT